AATAATTCTAAAACTAAATACGGCAAATGGAAGCTAGCAAAATTCACCCTAGCTAGTTTCCGAGAAATGAATTCATTTTATGAGTTTTGATGAAAGAATTAAAAAATACAAACTTTAAGAAGAAAAATATCAAAATATTTTTTAACCTTTTTCATTTCTATTAAAGCCTGTTGGATTATAAAAAAAATGGAACAACCAATGAAGAAAATTAATGTATAAATAAAACAGGAATGAGTGGTAAAAAGAAAATGCGCAAGGATTTTTTTATTATGAAATATGAGCAGGAAAGAATGTATATGGCGTACACCCAGAAAAAGGTTTAGTTATAACAACCAAGATTTGGTTATAGTGATCAAGTGGCATAGTTGGATATGGCGAAATAAATATATAGTTAACGAAAGTCTGCAATTTACTTAAGACTTCTAGTTGGGACAAATGTATATTTGTTAATAATTGCAAAACNTAACATTCTTTGCTGCTCATACATATTTCATATGTACAAACAACCTTGCGCATTTTAATATGATCACTAATTCCATTTTTATTTATGCATCGATTTTCTTTAAAATAATGATAAAAAACTGACACAGAGTCTGTGATTTTTTTTGAATTTTTTCCTTTTAAGGACTGTTTGCAGCTCTCAAGAAATATCACAAGAAATATTTTTCATTATTTCTGTTGATTCAAAAAGTACTTTGTTTTGCTGGAAATTTTCTTGAAGAATTAAATACTCTGGCATTTTTTTCTTGAGAGCTGCCAATTGAATTCAGAAATTTTGATAGAAGAAAATTTCTTTTCCAAGTCTTGTACGTCATTTTATATGCATTTTTCATTTTTCTTGGGAGCGCGAACAGCCCCTTAAGTTTGAATTTTTAATTTTTTTACAAAAATAAAAATAAAAATATGGAATTTTTAATTAATTTGTACGAAACTATCAAACCTTTCGAAAAGTCATGTAAACTTTTTGTCAGCTGATTAAGTTAAGTGACTTTTTGACCAGTTTTGGTTAATTCTCTTTTGTTTATTTAGGTAATGTTTATAAGTTTTTTTTTTTAAATGTCAAGCACCACATAAATCTACATTTCAAACTATTTACAAAAATTTAACAAACTTTAACAATTACACCCAAAAACTTTAAACTTTTTATTAAACATTTTTTGAAAAATTTTAGGTATGTATGTAGTTTTATAGCCCATTAAATTTTAGTACATTTAAAGTGCAAATTTTTATACGCTAGAAAATCACTTTGATACTTAATATTTTTTTTTTGCTGAGGGTACTATGCATTTTCCTCCATATAAAAGTAATTGTCGAGCATACTTTATGTGGGAGAAAATGCTCAACACCGTCAGCCAAAAATATTATTAAAAATCGACGCGATTTTATAGCTTATTTAAATTTGCACTTTAACCTTCTAAAACTTAATGGGCTAAAAACTGCATACTAAAAATTTTTCTAAAATTTTATAATAAAAGGTTTAACATTTTTGGGTGTAATTGTTAAAGTTTGTTTAATTTTCATAAATTTTGTAGGAAGTTTGAAATGTGGATCTATTTGATGTGCTTTATTTCTATAAATAAAATATATAAACAATTAATAGACAAAATAAAAATAACCAAAACTAGTGAATATGTCGATTAACTTAATCAGGTGACCACAAGTGTACATGCGATTTGTGAGTAATTTTGTTAGCTTTCATTAGCGTATTTTAAAATTGTTCAATTGGTTCGTAAGATATACGTGATTAAGTGAAACCACCTTGGCCGCTGTGGTGTAGTGGTAAGCAGTGCGCGCTTCCACTCCACAACGCCTGGGTTCAAAGCCTGGCCAAAGCAGGCAATGGCAAACCTCCGAGTGCATTTCTGCCATGAAATTAAAGCGCTATCTATTTTGTCAATGTTATTGTGGCTTGTTAACATTTTTATTTTTAATATTTTTATTGAGCTTTGTACCACGATTGTTTATTAGGAAAAATTGAAAAAGCAACAAAGTCTAAGCGGTAGAAGTTATAGCACTATTTCGGAGATCACCACATCTCCTCATCATCGCTATCCACTGACTATATGCTGTCGACGACCTGAGCTCACCACATACCCTACTCGAAATTCCCAAAGAGCAGCGACAGCACTCAAGGAAAGGTCCACTTCTTGCATGATCAAAAGTGGAAGGTGGGATTGATGCAGGGGTTTTCATTGAGCAATGTAACCTAAAGTTATCCTTTCGACTACCACATTATGCAAGCGTTTTCTAGGCCGAGACCTTTGCAATCAAGAAGGCGGTGATGTACATTAAAGAGAATGTACCCGCAAGAACGCAGATGATTATCTTTTCGGATAACCAAGCAACCATTCAGGCACTCTCTTCTACCTCTGTTATATCGCTACCACTGATAAAGATTCTGGGACAAAGGGACATTTCCGGAAACGAGGCAGCGGACGAACTAGCAAGGTTCAGCTCCGCACTGAATGTGTCCCACGCGGCAGACATTGGCGCCTTGTTCAGGGAGATTTAAGCAAAAGTTACCGAAATTTATCACTCGAAGGCCAAGCAGAGGTGGAACCCTAGAGGATCTTTTAGGATTAGTCAGCAGTCCGACGACCCACTTAAAACAAAAGCAATGAATATACCTAAAAATACAAAATATGTTCCTATTTAAGCGCTACATACCAAAAAATACAAACGTCTTTCAACTTTGCTTACTGGGCATTCTTGTAAAGGTGTGTGTGTGCGCTAGTTTAAGCGAACAGCTATCAACTACATGTGTGCACCGTTGGCTTGTAGTGTCAAAACAGTTGTCATATGGACATTTTACACGACTACACTTTGTGTGCAAGTAAATAATGCAACAAAAAAAAAGCGAGACTCGAAATGTCAAATACCAAGTCAAGCCAAAGTAACAGGCAGCGCAGGCAGATATGTCCACATAGCTATTAGTATGGTATGTGGAAGCTGTAACGAAGTAAGATAACAAAAATTCATCGTAATATGGGCGCTCTCGCAAAATATCGCAATGCAAGCACCGCCAGCAGGTTCCACTTCTTGTGCTCTCAAACGCACGACGCGCAACTTTGCAAGTTACACTCTGACTTGCCTGTGATAACTCTACGGTCTGTTGCTTCACACATATCAGCTTTCTCTCAGTCATCTCACTCTGATTCGTTTAAGCGCTCATGCACTCGCTCGCTCCCTCACTTTTAGCTCTAAGCCTCAATCATGCGCGCTCACGCACTTTTCGCACTCGCCGCTTTTTTACGAAGCATACTTCCAGGCGTTTCAGCCGTTTTGTCAATCTCAAAGAGTGTTCTTATTCCATTAGTTGCTGAGCTGCTCTACAGGCTGGTGTGCTGTGAATTTTCGATGGCGCGCTAAATTTCTGTTTGCTTCTTGAAATTTTCGAATGAACCGATTTTTGGACGCTTGCAAGCCAACAGCTGTTTTTTGCCGACACACACACACACACACACACTTCTTCTTACACTCTCGCATGTCATTCACTTCGTTCTATCTGCTCCTTTGTTGTTTATCCATTCGCCTACTTGGTCACGAACTATTTTACGCTCTTTGTGCGTTGGCCGATGAACTCTGTGCTGTGCTTTCACTTAACTTTTCTTTTCCGCTGCCAGCAGGAGGAGGATGCTGTGCGCTAACATAGCAGGCTGCGTGCGTGTGCGTTCACGAGTACCTCTGTGTGTGTGCGTGTTTATGCATGCGTGTGTTTGTGTAAGCTTCTGGCTGCAGCTCGTTTGTCTCTGCCATGAATGAAAGCGACTAACTTTCTTTTCTTTCAGTTCCAGCATCATCGTCATCCAGTGCAGTTCTGACTACAATTTAACCAAGCGCGTTCCAGCGTTTGCTTGCCCCCCCCGTGCAAGGGCGTATTGACTTTTGTACAAAATAATTTTTCATACACTAACACATGCATAGTACATAAAAAATACTTAACTCTAAAAATAATTGAAGCAAGTGTGCAAGAAATAACTGTAAAGAAGTGCATAGTGAAAAATTCCCAAGAAAACTCGAAACGAAAATTCATCAAACGAAATGCTAACTATACAAGCCGTCGCATGCGTATACATACTCGCATACATATGTAGCATATTTTTAGGTGCTCTTTACTTTTAAGTGATTGTGCAAAGTGTGAAAGTGGCGTAAAGTGCAGAAAATTGAAGAAAAGTGCAAAGCGAAAAGTTTAGTCTGTAGTTTTTTTTAGCCAAAAGTACTGATCCGTCATGTGAAAATTTTTATCGGTTTCAAAACGTTTTGGTTTCGTCAATACAATAAAATTAAGCATTGTTGTCGTTGTTGCTATTGTTACTGCCGTTGTTTGTGTTAACCCTCAGCATTTTCATAGCTGAAAATTTATTTCATTTTTCGGCCAAGAATATCGATTGGTGGCCTTGCATAAGTCCAGTTTAGCGAGTGTTGTACATATCTATGTTTGGACACAGATACAGAGAAATATGTACAAACTAAACAGCTGCACAAGCACTACATAAATCGCTTGCAAGCCATCAGCTCCCATTTTAAGNAACCTAAGGCAACGGCCAGCACATACACACACACACACACACACACACACACACACACACACACTGGGTCCGACGGTGGTGCGTCCGCACAGTAAGCGTTTCAGAAGTATGCAAATGTGAGTGAGATTGGCACAAATATATTCGTATTTGCGCGCTGCTTGCCGTAAACAGGAATTAAATAATTTAAATGCTCTGTGGCGTTGAAATTTTCACAGATAAGAAATTGCAAATCAGCAGAAAGAAAGCAAAGCTGGAAAAACAACAAAGAAACAACTAGCAGCGCGTAGAAGGACAAACGCAGCAGCAGCAGCTGGCTCGCGAGAACAAAAAAAATTGGAGAAAAGGAGGAGGAAGAAGAAGAAGCGTGTGAAAAAAATCCACATTACAGGAAGTGTACGAAAGACAGCAGCTGAGGAAGTTGAGCAAGAGACTTAATTAATCGCATAAAAATCAGAATGATGGTGTAATAAATTGAACGGAATATGCTTTCAGTTCAATAAAAAATAATAATAACAAAAAAAAATTGCGAAAAACCTCAAGCGAGTGTTGGCATAGCGCAGTCGAAAAGCAAGCGGAAATGTTGGAGAAAAGTAAGTGTATATAAAGCTAAAAAAAAATTTATGATTTTGAACAAGTGTACAGATATGTGTGTGTGAAAACAACAAAGGTAACTAAAAAAAAAAAAACTACAACAAAAAATATATCTAAAATCTAATACAGAAATTGATCAGAGAAACAAGAGCAAAGGTAAAATTGTTTATATACAATTACAAACAGAGACAAAGATGAGACGTTTCTGAAAAATAGAAAGGCCAGCAAACCAAATACAGTATTCCCCGCCTAATTGACCCCGCCGCTTAATTGATTTCGCCGCGTTTTTGAACCACTTTCTCGGTAAAAAAAAGTATTGCATTGAAAATACAAGTAAATTTATCCGCATAATTTAACCGGCTATTTAATTGGCTAAAGAAAATTGTGTTATCGAAAAGAAATATTCCTTTAATTTTCACCGGTTAATTGCACAAAAAATTTTCGTTAAAAAAATTAACTGGCATTACCGCACATACATATTTCCTAGCATTTCTGATAAACAGTAGTTGGCATCTCTTCTAAGAAATTGAAAACATATTTTTATTGGTGACGAAAATCTGTAAGAGAGCGGCATAAAATATAAGATTCGTTAAATTGGACTGTACTTAAAAAACACATATTTATTTTTTTTAATTAATTCGGTCCTAATTAAGAGGGATTTCTGTAATTGAACGAACTGTTCAATTAAACGAGTGTCGTACAATTTTCGAAGTGCAATTAAGCGGGGAGTACTGTACAAACTAATATTTATAAACGGTGTAAGAAATAAATTGAAAATGAATGTAACTAGTTAAGCAAGAACATAAGAAATTGAGAGAATTATAAATTAAATGAAGTCATGTGAAAATAATAGGGACACGACGTTTTTACTAGTAATTTGCTGAATTGTCGGCACCCAATACTCGGTACTCAATACTTGAAGAAAATTTCGGTACCAAATAGTTTTTTTTTCAGTACCCGGTACCGATTCGATACATTAAACCTTCGTCATAATATATACACTTGTGGTCTACAGATTAAGTTTAGTGACATTTGGTATAGTTTTAACAATTTTTTTTTTGTTTATTTTATGTTATTTTTTTTTTATAAAAGTCTAGAACATTACATAAGCAGTACCACATTAATCCACATTTCTAACTTTTTACAAAAATTATAAAAATTCAACAAACTTTGACAATGACACCTACAAATTTTGTACTTTTTATTAAAAATGTTTAAAAAAAATGTTAGGTATACAGTTTTATAGCCTATTATATTTTAGCAGGTTAAACTGCAAATTTTAAAACGCAAGAAAATCGCGTCATATTTAATATATAAAAGTGATTGGCGAGCATACTTTATTTGGGAGAAAATGTTCAACAAAAAACATAAACAATTTATAGATAAAAGAAAATACCCAAAACTGGTCAAAATGTCACTTAACTTAATCGGCTGACCACAAGGGTATACCTTTGAAGTTTGCATAAAACAAAAATTCATTACTAAATATTTCAGATAGCATCGCCTGAAATAAAAAGAGGTAAAATTAAAACGATGCTTTCTCAAAAGATGAGCAATATTTGTGTCAGCATTTGAGCCTTCTTGTACTTATCGACACAGTCTTACCAACTGCAATAGTTATACGCAATATTATTACGATTTTCATTGTGGTTGCCGCTGGGGCAGATATCAATCCAGCGACGAGAATGTTCAGATCCAAATAATGTTATTCAAACTGATCAATTTTTATTTAGTTGTCGAAATTTCTAGACACAGAATTTGAGTTCTCAAAATTTACGTATAGTTATCGAGCTAAAAAAATTTATGGGATTATCTAAATTTGTCAAGTTAACAACTTTTATTTAGATATTATAAATTTTAGAGTTAACGAAATTTATCGAGTTATCGTAGTGCATCGAGTTCTTTCAAAATTATCGAGTTATCGATATTTATTTATTTACTGAAGTTTGTCGATTTATCAAATCAAAAATTCTAGAATTTTCTAAATATATCGAGTTATCGTAATTTCAAGGTTGTATTACTTTATCGAGTTATTACTGCTTATCAAATTTTATCGTGTTACGAGATTGTAACGAGTTATCGAAATTTTTCGAAAGCTTTCGCAAAATATGAAGCTATAAAAATTTACCGAGTTATCGAAATTTATCGATATATGCAAAGTTTATAGTGTTATCGATTTATATCGAGCTACATATATACATTTTTTAATTTATCTATTAAAAATTATCAAAATTAGTCGAGTTACATTTTTTTTTGAGTTTTCGGATTTCAGTGTTTTTGAAATTTATTGAATTATCGATATGTGCTAAATTATCGAAATTTATCGACAAACTAGAATGTATCGGGTCAATTCCAAGTCCTTCAAAGACTTTTAAAGAAAATTTAGTCACGGTTTAGTTCCAAAGCAGGACATTTTCTGGTAATTTTGTACCGTGTAAAAAAAACGACGTGCTAAATTAGAAAACCTCTCCAAGGGTTTTTAAAAACTAGAAAAATGATTGAATATTGATAGTAACTCATAAGTTTTCTAATTGTTTTACAAAGTTTGAAAAATAACCGGAACTGGTCAAAATATCGTGTCCCTATTAGTTACATACATATCTACTTATTTAAATTTCGCCGTGCTGAACCTGAATCCGCTGTCAGAATTAACCAAGAGGATCTTGGCCTAACCTCAAAAACACCCGTAATTATTTCTATGTTTTTTCATATGTTTTTCGCGGTTAAGTATGAATTCTGATAGCGAATTCCGATTCCACAGATCTGGACATTGTCTTCGTGTGAACATGCTCTCCTTTGTGTAACTTTTTCTTAATCAAAATCTTTCATGGCAACACCAAATCAGCTTAAGTCGATCAGCTCTTAAGTTTTTTCCTTAGCTGTATATCAGGAAAGTGGTTTTATTATTATTACAAGTATTGGCATTTACCGCCGAGGTCGGCCGTTATTTAAGAGTATCGAAAAGGTTTTCGACTTCGTTTCAGTCCCTGTTTTTATATACGCATTTGTCTTTGTATTAGTCTTCACATTCACTTACGTCTTAGTCACTATCTTCGCATTCGTCATCGGATGTATGTGTATTAGCTTTCGTATTTGTTTCAGTGTGTCTTTGCATTCGTTTTCGCAATCATCTTTGTATTCATCCTCTTCTTCGTATATTCCGCTTCATATTCGTATTCGTATTCATCCTTATATTCGGATTCAGCCTGATATACATATTCTTGTATGGGTAATGTGATCAACTAATTCATAGCTCAAAGAAGTACAGGTTAGGTTGGGTTAGGTTAACGCCGCGAGCCGATCACGAATTTTCGAATGCGGCTAATTTCGAGGCCTGAGAGCTCAGTGTTAGTTCAGGAGAGCGAGCAAAAATGCTTCCATCTTAGCCTCGCGAAGGTGGACAGTCTAAAAGAAAGTGTGGAGATGATTCCACTTCATCTTCCCTTTTGACAGCTAAAATAAAAGGTATCAGAGGAAATTCCTAGCCTTACCGAGTGAATATCAATCGCACAATGGCCTGCCAGAACCCCCATCACTAGCTCTTGAGAGGTAACATGGTATTCGGCACCTTTAAGGGGTAGCGATGGGTCGGTCACTCGTTACTAGCGCTGCAAAAAGTATTTTAAAGTGCTTTGTAAAGATATTTTCTGCAGCGGAGAAACGTCTTATTTTCCTATTTTATGTCACAAAAGGAGCATCACTTTCTTTTGCCCATTTTATTAGGTATTTAGTAAAGTATGCAATTTCATTATCGCGAGTACGAAGTATGCGTGTTAGTTTAGCGCCCGCCGAGCTCACACTAGGCCCAACCATCCTATAGTGTACTGCAGGAGAACAGAGGCGTCCCTAGTTGCTCCTTATCTGGGGATAACTTTTTAAGGGTGCCTTTAAAACGCCAGGTCATGGTCCGGCACCTAAACTTGAAGAATTACCTCTCTGACGCGATGGATAACGCACTTTACCGATTTTTAACGCACCACCATACCCCTTAGCAGTGAGTCTACCGCTTCCTTGATCACAGCCATTTCCACCTGAAAGACGCTGCAGAAGTCCGGAATCCTTAGTAATCCCTACCCAGTCATCTCTTGAGGGAATATAGGCAGAGAAGGAACTTCTGGCAGGCATTTCGGAGGCGCTGTAATCTATGTGTTCAGAAATCCAGAGTGTTACCACCCGATTTCCCTTAGCCTAATAGCAGTTCCTGCTGCTAAAATTCTGTCTACAATATCCTCAGACGTCGTGTTGAACATGACGTTAAGCGCCAGTATAGCTGTGGTTCCTAATGCTCCACTAATTCCTAATTTACAAGTGTAGCTTTCTCTAGCGGGTTCCACCAGACAAGGGCTCCGTGAAACAAGATAAGCTTAAATCTGGTTGCATAGAGCTAATGAATTAACTTTTTCCGATAGCTCCCTTATAGCAGTACAAGACAACCGACGTATTATTTACCCTTTTCTCAATGTTAGGCTTCCACAGACGAACAACCGCACTCGAGGGAAGGACCACAACGAGTATCTTGTACTTCCTGGTAAACAAGACCAGTTCCGTTTTGCTGGGATTTACTGCGAGGCCGCTCTTGATTGCCCACCTAGTAACCTGTATCAGGTAAACTTGAGGCAGAAAAAAGGGTGTATAGAAATCGTCCTTTAACCAAAAGATCCACACAATCTACATAGGCAATCACCCGACCTCACACTTTTTCCAGATCCCCTAGAAGGTCATTTACAACCGCAACGTAGAGCAGGGGAGGGAGAACACCAATTTGCGGAGTGCCCATATTGTCACTGCACTGAGTGCAGGCGCTCCCCCTGTCACAAAGTAAGCTGTAGATAAGCCTTATGAGGTTGGTTTCAACCCCCAAATTATAGATAGACTTGAATATTGCCTCTGAAGTGACATTACTGAAGGCTCCCTCGATATCGAGGAAGGCCCGTACTGAGTGAAGGCTTCCTCTGTCCTCTTTAGCAATGTGTGCAGGGTGGTATCCACCGAGCTTGCAATAAGCATGTTGAGCTCTTGAAAGATAGTCACGAGGAATCGCGTTTCTTATTTCGCGAAAACGATTTAGCGTAAACGAAGACAGACTGCTAAATAAACAATTGGGTATTATTACTGGAAGTCTCCTGAAGAGAAACAGAGTTTTCAGATCGAAAAATATTGATTTTCACGAATTCTATACCATTTCTACGAAAAATCGTTTTTCCCCATATAAAATACATGGAAAATTTCTAACGCTTTGAGCGACCTCTAAATATTTTTTGATAAAAAAAACACAGGGGTAAAGTTTTGCCTGTATAGAACAATCCTAGGGGGTGAGAGAAATAAAATTCCGACTTAATTTTTTCACATACAGTTTTGGACCACCTTAATGTATATATGTATCTAAAGTAGAATAACTCAACTTTGGAATTCTTGCACGGACTCATTCAGCAATTAAAAATTATGAAAATTTTGTGGCGTTCTACGAAAAAAATGTTTGCGGGACTATGTAATTTTTAAATTGAGAAATATGCGCTTAAAACACGTAGAATCTTAAAAAAAATATTTTAACAGAGAAATCAACATAGCAGAACATAGAAACGATTGAATGAAGAGAAAACTAAAAATTTAATAAAAGAAGATCAACAAGAGTACTAAGAATGAGCTGAGTGAGCGATTAACAAACTATAAGAGACGTCACGAAAGTTACACAGCCACAACAGGAATCGACAACTGCAGCAGTGTTCCAAGAAGCGGGACCATTAATAGCTGAGAAAAATGCCCGATAATCGAAGGAGTTTTCAGTAGCTACCAGAGTAGCTACCAGAGCATAGCTGGCAGTTGCCAGCAACGGATTTCAACCGAATCAAAGCAGCAAACTAAATCACACGCGCTATGAAAACGAACATTGTTGACACCGTCATAAATTCAAGTTGAGTTGCCAAAAATACAAGAATTGAAAACAATTTTGCGTCTTAACAATAAAATTTCAACAAAAGCTTGACAACAATAGAAGCAATCACAACACGTGAAATCAACCACAACAACGCTAGCGACATCCAACAGCAACAAATTCGCTTAAATTAAAATGAAGGCATGTAGCTGCCACAAAAACAACAGCAACAAATATAAAACATGAATACACTTGCACGCAAATGGAACATCAAAACAACACACGTGCAAACCAGACGCAAGAGGACACGCTAGTGTGATTACTGAAAGAAAGCAAAAGTAAAGTAAAGAAAATAAAAATCAACAGCCAAAGGCAGAAGCTAAAAAGATTTATGACCATCAAATATTAAAGTTGCCAACGACTTTGCGACACATTTTTGAAGTCTGCAAATAACAAAGAAAAAAAAACTTGACAAGTGCAACAACAACAGCAACCATACAACATACATACATACATATTACCGCCATCATCATCATCAAGGACCCCAACTAAATAAATACAGTCGGCGACTGGGTCAGCCTAGTGTGCCAGCGAGCTACTGCTGAGCTTTGCTTGGCAGTGTGTGCATAGAATCATTAAATAAATTGCAAATCACGAGACACTGTACATACGGTTTGTTCCTGCTTCAACTCTCCGCTTCACGTCTCTTTCCTGCGCGCCTCCCCCATTCCTGCATGAGAATCCACTGCAATTATAGTTAAATCTAGGCGAAATCTCACGCGCGGCAGTCACTTATCCAACGCCAGCAGCTGAGAAGTGTGGTGTGGCAGTGGAGGGAGGGAGGGAGGGAGGGAGGGAGGCTAGCAGACAGTAGGTCAGCAAGCAGTGAAAAAAGCATTGGGCGGCACAGAAGTCACAAAAAAGGATGGCTGTGGCGATGCGACCAAATGGTAAGTCAAATGGTATGTATCCACCATTTACAAGTATTAGGGTGATCGTTTTTTCCCATTTCAAATATTTTTGTACCATTACTGTTCATATTCCCGTTACTACCATCATTACCAATACCAATACCAATAAAAATAATATTACCAATACCAATAGCAATACTACTACTAATACCAATACCAATTCCAATACTAACGCCAATACCAATTCTAATATTAATACCATGGCCACTATCAATACCATTACCATTATCATTATCAAAGTCACAACGATTACTACTGGATATAACTATTACCATTACCGTTGCCATTACCATTGAAACAACCACTAACATAACTTTAACAATTGTCATTACAATTATTATTACTACTACCATTACTATTAGCATTAGGATTTACATTACCATTACCATAAATACCAATAGAATTACTGTTATCTTTACCACTAACACTGCAATTACTATTACTGTCCCCATTAACTTGACCATTAGCATTACAATTACCACTTGCGTAACTCCTACCATTACCATTAACATTAGCATTACGAATACCAATAATATTTCCTTTTTGATTACTATCGTTATCAATAACATTACCGGTACAAATAGCATTACGTCACCATAACTTTTAGCAATAGCTCTACCATTACCAACACCTTTTCTATTTCCATTACTATTACCTCTACCGTTATTATTACCATTACCAATAGCATTACTGCTACCATTTCTTTTACCATTGCACATCTTTACTGTTTCTATTACCATTACCATTACCAGTACCATAATTATTCATTACCATTACCACACCGATTATCATTACCACGACCCTTACCATAACGATTATCATTATCATTACCATTACTACCACTATTACAACTACACTTTTTCTTTATTCCTTTCCCTACAAAAATGCATGAAAAGCGAGTTTCGAAAACCCAACTGCACCACCCTTCCTTTTAATCGGAAGTTACCAAGGCTGGCGCTCAAAAAAAATAATAATAATAAATTTTATTTTATAAACACAAATACTTGCGTGTGTTGGCAATTGTCATCAACGTTCGCTTGCTCACCAGAACAGTCGTCATCCACATTTTTTCTCACATTATCTTCTCCTTTGTCCGTTGCACCTCCTTTGTCGGCCGTCAAAAGCATCATCATTTACAATGCTTATGAATTTCTCATTTGCTGTGTGGATGCTACTTTGGCCAAATTTTTGTGTAGGGTGGCATGACTTGTACCACCGCACGTACATACATACATACATACATACTTTGGTAGGTCAAGTGGTTTGTATTCTTCGCTCTCTCTCGTTAGGCGTGTGCTGTGTTGTTGGCACAAATGTAATTTCCCTGTTCTCGACGGTCCAGTAAAACATGTAGGGTCCTTGGATTTTCTGTTGCCATTGCATGTACAATACTATATTTGTTTGTATGTGTGTATGTATTTCACTTACTTAACTTTCATTATAGTCTTCAGCTTACCTACTTACCTGGGTGGGTGTTGTTGTACTTTATACAATATGGATGAGGTGGTGTGGGGGTAGTTGTACGGTTGAGTTATTTTTCGCGTAGGTGTTGCCAAATCAGCAATTGTACGCTGTTATATTTACTTGTGTATGTATGTGTGCACGTTCGTATACTTAAGTTCTTAAGTACGTAATTGGAAGGTAGCAAGGTGAACATCAAGTGGCAGAAAGTAAAAGTTAAAGTTAAAAGACCTTCAAATGCAATTACATACGTAGTTAGTAGTTATGTAGTATGTGTAGCATATTTTTCACATTTCTTTCTAAATAAAGGGAAATTTAATGCGAAATGTGAAATGCGAAATGCAACACCACGAGGTAAGGACAAAAGAGTATTGAGGGGGGAAAAGTGCACTCTAGCCTTAAATTTTATTTCGTTAAGCTTTAGCATTCTTAAGCTGACAATTAAATAGTGGATGTGTCTTTTATTTGTTATTAGAGGGTACTGAGAGAGAATTTGTTACCCTATTTTTTGTTCCCTAATCTCAAATGTTTGATGGCATATGTATGTATGTATGTATGAATATTACTGTACGATCATACATTTCTATTTATTTCAAAAATCGAGGAAAACGTTAGATCTTCAATCAAGTTCTACTGAAATTCTCTATTAAATTATCTCAAAGCAAATATTGTGGTTTTGTTTTGTTTGATTGATTAACGTTAAGTTTTTATGCAGTGACCGATTCTTGTGAGGGCAGCGACAGCAAGTTATATTCAGTTCAGAGGAAATGTTTAAGAGTGTTCTTTCATACATTTTCGAATAATTCCAGTTTAATATTTATGGCAGATTTTAGGGTATAAAATAATTTAGATCAATTAATTAAACAATTGATTAATCACAAGACACAAATAAATAATTGCATTTAATTGCAATTATTGTCAAATAATCGATTAATCGGCTTATTTAATAACGAACTAACTTCCACGGCAAGAAATGCCAACGATGACTATTTAACATTTTTATCACAAAGTTCATATCACACGAATCTTGTTACTTCGGTACCAAACAGTTTTACTTATTTATAGTAATTTCTTATTGTGAGTCTAACGAAACTGTCGTAAGCGCCAAGTAATGCTGGACAAATAGCAATCAGCTGTATTCATTTCTTCATGATTTTCAGTAACTGTGGCTAGGTTCTGCTTACTTGTACAGAAACAAGTAGCCAAGAAAAACAATTTAAGATGTAAAAAAGCGTCTAGCTTCTTTTAGTAAATTTCTTTACTTTCAATTTTTATGTTGAAAAGCTCGCGCTGATCCAAAGTCGCCATAGCCGAGTGAGCAAAGCACTTAGATGCCATTTTTTCAAATTTAATTTTCTTTTAATTTTCATATTTGATCATAAAAAAACAAAAACATTTATATATTTTTTATTTCGTTTATTTTTAGAAACTTATTTAATTTCGATTTTTTTCTCGTGTACCTTTTGGTGTTTGTTGCGTTGATTTTAAGGTAAAAAAAGATAATAATTTTTTTAAATTTAATTTAGTTGCAAGAAACATATATTTCTTTATTTTTATTTTAATTTTTTTTAAATTTTTTGATTTTAGCGTTTTAAAAAGGAAAATATTTTTTATTGTAATTTTATTTAATTTTTAATAAATTAATTTTTCTTTCTTTTTTTAATTAAATTGTTTTATTTTGCTGTTTTAAGAAGAAAAATATATATATTTTATTATTTTATTAAATTTTTAGGAACATCTTTAATTTTGTCGGTTTTTAATTTAATTTTTAGATCCTATTGTTTAATTTCATTTAATTTTTAGAAGCTTATATTTATTTCTTCTTTTTTCGTTTTTGGCAATTTTTTTTTTTAGATTTAGATCTTCTCGTTTAAAAAGGATGTTTAATTTCATTTAATTTTTAAGAACTTTTTTTTCTTACTCATTTATTTAATTTTTTTATTTTTGTCGTTTTCTAATTTATTTTTATATTCTATTGCTTATTTCTTTCTTCTTTTTTAATTTAATTTTCTTTTTAACCAACTTCTAAAAAAGGAGGAGGTTATCAGTTCGTTTTTTTTTTTTTTTTTTTTTTTTTTTTTTTTTTTTTTTTATGTATGTTACCGCAAAATTTTGGAACACGTCAACCGATTTCGATAATTCTTTTTACATCGGAAAGGTAGTGTCTCAGAGGTGGTCCCCAGGAAGCTTTTTCACCACTTGGACAACCATAAATATCAATAGAGTACAAAGTCCCCAAGTCGCTTGCCGGCAGCACTTGGAGCAAAGACAAAGAGACGTTGTGGGCAACGTACAAAGCAATTGGCCGGCCGGTTCTAAACTACGCAGCGCCTGTGTGGTCACCGGTAACCAGTAGGACGCTGTGGTTGAAGCTACAGACTTGCCAGAACACGGCACTCCAAACAGCGACCGGATGCAACATCATCTGCACGGCAAGGCTCATATAAACCCAGTTCAGAAGCATAACATAACGCTCTGCAAGCAATTCTTAGTAGGGTTACACCGACGTGGGCACCCAAACAGACATTTACTTGCGGAATAGACCTCGCGACGACACGTCAGAAAGCATGTATACGAACTAACGGATGAAGTCCGCAGGTTCGTAAGGCAACCTCTGGACCCGACAGCATATCGACAGGACTTGAATGGCATTCACAGGTAGCCGGTCTCAAGTTACGTAGACTATCGACCTGTGAATGCCGTTTTGGGCACACAACCACCAGACGTGGACGAGACAGGGCTTCGTCTGCCTAGGGAGACTCGGACCACAATAGCCCAACTTCAATCTGGCTACTGCGGCAAGTTAAACTCGTACCGGATGAGGATGTGCCAAATGAGTGTCCCACGACTCGGAACATCTCTCCACATTCCCACTGAACTCCGATAGAAGCTGCTCGCCTCTTGGGTCTCTCGTTAGTTGAGCTTGACGACAACGATCGAGGGACCACAACAAAAACAACAACAACTTCTGGAGTAGGTTCATTTTTTTTTTTTTTTTAGTTTTAGCATTCGGTGGGCACGGCAGCATACAGAGTTTATGCCAGCGAAGAAAATTAGCCACTAAGAGATTATAAACTAAGTGTGCTACCCCATTTAAATCACCAGGGCCTACATAGTAGTGCTCAGTAGATGAAGCCATAGAAGCGCCGCTGCGAAGCACCCTAGACAGATACGGGATGCTTTCTGATGTCATTATTTCCGCTGAACAGCTGAGTCCCAAATGGAAAGATTTTCTTTTCGTCTTTAGTACAAGGCGGCAATGAGTTAATTATCCACTTCGGTGATTGGAATCTCGCTATCGTAACTTAGCTACTTATCCTTCCTGTGTGTACATATAAACATTTCTCGTCTAGTTCAGGGCTATTTCCGGACCATTTCGGGACTGCTTCGGGATAATATGGGGACCGGTAAGGGACCATGTCGGGATCATTTCAAGCCTTGTTTGAAGTCCTTTTGGCACTAGTTCGGGATCATTTTAGGGTAGTTAGAAACTAGTCACGAAATGATCCTGAAATATGTCCCAACCATCCCCGAAGTGGTTATAAAAAAGCAGTGTACTGGTCTCGATATAAAGGAATGAAATTAATGCTTAATTTCTAATCTAGCCAATTTATGTATGAAGCTGAATCGCCTAATGTTTTATGAAGCCGTACATAACATAACTAGATGTTTGCCATTATCTCGGCACTTTGTTCGTCTTTACTTTATTACTGTTCGATGCTACTTGATCACATATAGTATACACATTACCTTTCTAATCAAAAAGCATTCAGTCTTCATACACTCCACTGACCGCATGCACCTTTATTGCCAATCAGTTTCGGTAATATTTCCATTAACAACCATTTAATCGGCAATAATCGAATTTTAAATGGTCAACTCATTTTCCCAGTGTCGCTATGTTTTACGGCTGCGCACTGCGCGCCGGTCAATAAGTTCGTTGCACTCATTGTCTTCATTGCCGCTGTTGAGCCGTGGTTCCACACTTTATTTGCAACTAATTTTGTGTTGCTAATTATTTTTTCCATCTTCCTTAGCTACAAAATTCACTGCACCACACACACACACACACAGATGTATTAGAGCTCTTCAACAACTGACAACGGCCTCTTTTTCCTTCCCATTTTCAGGTTTACATCATGCAGTTTCGCTAGGCACCATCGAAGTGGCGTCTAAGGTAAGCAAGCCAGCCAGCAGACCGATTACATCGCACCACACTCGCTCACTGTGCCGTCAAGCTGGACGGTACGCTTATGAAACCCATTAATTATTGCATTGCACTTTTCGCTTCATTGCAGTCAGCGGCAGCTTCTAGCCATTACGATCGCAGTTACGATTCCGAAGATGAGAATATGAGTCGACGCCGCTTGCGACACACCTCCTCCACAGAACTGTATCCACGTCCATCCGTTTACTCGAAAGGCGATATACGCGAACAGGTGAATGCTCTACGACTGCTGTACTTTTTGCCCTGCGGTTTTTGTTTGTGCACTGTTTTTTATTTTGTTCCTGATTTTTTATTTTTTATTTTTTGTCTGATCACCTGCACCGCCACATTTTTTCTTATGCTTGGTCGTATTTCTTTCTTTTCTTTTTGTCCCTTAAGTACAGTACTGCCTAACCGATCGTCAGCTGCATAGCATCGAGAGGCCGCGTCGCGATCGCTTCTTTGGCTGTCTCTCGAGGCGTAGCGGTGTGCCGCAATCCTTTCTGGGTGGCTGTGTTGGGCGAAGGGTGCCATCAGATGAGAATTTAGCTGCGTACGCTCCCTTCTACAAGTATCCGCGGCAAGTGAAATTTTTGATGCGCTTATTACTTTTGTGGCTGGAAAGACATTTACTTTATTTAATCAACTTTTTTTTTTATTTTGCAGCTATCAAAGACACTTTCAAAATAACGACGACAAATCACCTGACTCCGATATGGATAGTTCCTATTTTAGACGACAACCAGCTTCAATATTGAGCACTGCGAAGACGCTAGACACTGGAAGTGGTGGTGGTGGTGGTGGTGTCGGTGTTGGCGGTGGAAGTATTGCCAGCGGCAGTAGCGGCATCGGTGTTGGCCCTGGACCAGGCGTCAGCATGGGTATGGGTCCAAGCCAACGTTACTCCTGGATGGGCATGCCAACCGGCATGGGAAATGAGAATATCAACTTTACAAATGATCAAAGGTATGCGTGTTAAGCTTGGCTTAAATCATTGCTCAGCCACCAAAAACATTGCGGGGAAGTCATAGACATCGGGTGTAGGCTTTAAGTTTACCTTTTCTTTCCTTTTACTAATTATTTGCTGTAGTGGATATTGTTTTTATTTACCTATACTCACAGTTTAATTCATTTTTAAGGCTTCCTTTGTGAAATAACCTTAGAATCCGAGCTGTTAGCTCGACAAGACAGAGATTGGGTTTAGTAGCAAAGATTATTTCAGTTGTAGGTCTTACCTGATCCACGTATTAATGAATAGCCTCGGGAAGTACCTTGTTGATGTGGTATTAATGTCATCTGCATACAGTTAAAATTATCCTATGAAAGAGCGTGACACCCAAGTTTGACAAGCGCTTCGGTATCCTGCAATGGCTAGCAGGAAAGGCCTTATGTCCACCGAGTTGGATCTTCAGATGCTACTTATAAGATGATGGTTTTAGCTTTCCTTCAATGTTTTGAGTTTCACCGATATTATCGGCTCTCTTGGCTTAAACCTGCGTCATCGATGGGTCCTGGCGCTATGCAATTTTTCTTCTAACTTTATCGTCCTTACCACCAAGATATTCCCGCTTATAGCCTCAGACAAATGGAGTATAACAGCACGGACTACAGGTCCTTTTCGGGTTAAGGATCATTTCGGGAGAGTTCACGACTATTTCAGAAACATTTCGAGACTAGTTTGGGATCAGTTTACGGCTAGTTTAGGATCGTTTCGCGACTATTTCGGGATCATTTGTGGGGCCATTAAGTGTTCATCCCTCTTCCTAAATGGATCTACTTTGAAAGAAAATTGTCGTCGAAGCCGAATCCTGCAGCTCTTTTCCTCAGAGTATGCTGTTTTAAGTAGATGGTACCTCAGAATGCAGTGTTTTTTCGGGTTTCCGGTGTAAGTTCTTAAATCCTCTCTGCTAAGATTTAGCAGCCGCTCAGAGATTCCACGAGAGGGAGTGATAAATATTTTGGGCTACCCTTTGTCCTTTGTCGTGCACCATTTGGTTGTAACTTGGATGTACTCCTATCATTTTAGGAGCTCTGCTGTCTATCCTCTGATGGACCAAGGAAAGGCTGAGGGTCTACCAGGCTCCGTTGGCCACCGCATTTCGCTAGAGTGTCAGCCCTATCGTTGCCATCGAAGCCCTCATGGTCCGGAGCCTACTACAGGGTTACTTTGTTGTTGGCTTCTAGTTTTAGCAGTACCTTTTTGCAACTTTCTACCACTTTTGACACCGTTTTGTAAGAGTCAAGTCCTCTTAACGCTGCCTGCTATCCGACATGATGTTTATTCTTACCCCATTAGTCCTTCTTCGAAGAAATTCGTCGATACCGACATCAATTGCGAAAATATGCTCATCGGGACGCTTTTTTGAAATCTAGGTCCATACACGCTGGCCCCAGTGTTCTAATCTTCAAGTCTGGAACCATTATTGTATTGTTGATAATCGCTTTACAGGTATCCCTTTCAAGTATTATTACCTTGCAGGCCTTTATAAAGGTCAGCTTCGGTGGCATTGAGACTGTGAGTCCCTTACGTCCCCACTCTTCAGGCTACTTAAGTTCGGCAGTCTCAGGGCGCTCCAGCAAGCCTCTTTCTCTATAAGTGTAGCTAGAGGCGAAATGCCCGTGATAACTCCAAGCGCCTCTGTCGGGAACGTGATCATCGCCCCCGTTATGGCCCACCCAACCAGAGTGACGTTTGCGGTTGCTTGCTATTTCACTCCGAAGCCGTCTACATACTCATTTCCGATACCGACACTATTAGGCATATAGCGATTAAGTCGTTGCCGACCTCAGGTATTTAATTCTGTGGATAACGACGAATTAATGATTTTTGCGCGTCACTCATAAACTTTGTCACCATGTCGATTTCGTAATTCTCAGCCTAAAATGTTACAGTAGCTCAGAAATTTATAAGCTTTTCTCTATGAGAGTTGAATTGAGTTGAAGGGTAAATAATTTTTTTAGACACATTAAGGCCAGTAAAGGTAGAGAAAGCTTTACTCTACATATATATGTAGATTTATGTATGTCCGTGATGAGCACCGGCTATTTCGCGAGTGGAGCTTTTTGAGCTTTATGTATGAACTTTCGTATAGACGGGAGCAGAGTAAAAAATTTACAGAGATCTCAAAAAAGCTTTGCATGGGAAAGAAGTGGGAACCATCAGCACGGGCATATTTAAAAACACCTTTTACTTATATTATTGATGTCCCTGATTGGCTCATAAATTAGAAAAAAATGTAAAGCTTCTCATATAGACGAGCCGTGGAGTCATGCCTTATAAGAAATGTTTTTGTTAATGATTTTGCATTTTCAGTTACAGTTTCAATAATCTAGCAGCTCTTAATTTTTTTGCTACTGCTTAAAGCTCAGTTAGACTAGACTTAATTTACTTAACGTTACTAAATGTAATATTCTGGCCAACATGTTTAAGGAGAAACGGTGTTGGCGGTTAGATAAAAAACTTTACTTAGATACGTAAATTGAGAGCGGTGAGAGAATTTAGCTCGCCACATTTGCGGTTTTGTATTTTTTTGATGTGGCATTATATGCGGCAAACTGTCTATCTTCTGAAAAAGAAAATTATAATTTAAACTAAGTCTAGAATAACTGAGTTTATATTTAAATTATAATTTTTTTTTTTGATATAACTTAACGCCGCTCTACACATGTAATCCACCCACAGCCGTCATGCATATCCATACCAACGCGTTTTTCTTCATAAAGTTTCTCATCTCGCCTAAATGCTTTTACTACTATCGCGCTCTTTTTATACCTTTCATGAGCATGAAATGGTATTATAACTTTGGTCCGATGTNACACTAACTTACTAATCTACTCTCGCCAAACTATTCCCGTTTCTAACAATTCACGAACAGCTTGAACGCCGCATGCTTAACTAAATACTTTTACTCGTACTTTCAATCACTGCAGTCAGTCCAGTCAGTACTCATTAAAGCGCTCAGTATAAGACCCTACGAACTCCTTCAAGATGCGCATGCGCACCGAAGAGTTTCAACAGTCAAATTTTGTAAACAAAAACCATACAAAAAAATAAATATTAATAAAAAATCACCAAATCACTTTTGCGCGCGCAAGCTCGTGCTTCAAGCTCGACTCGACTTTTCTTCCACCATACGCCATTTCAAAGCAAATTAGCAAAACGAAAGCAAAAAATAAAACTATGTAAATATATATTGTACTTGTCTCTATTCCTCTATTTGTTGTTATCATCTTTGTTGTAACTGGGTTTTGCAAACTACACTTGCAAAAATACTTCAGCGCAAACCTTTCTTGCTGGCTAACACCGACTGACTACCAATATCGGAATATTTATATGACCAACTGTTTTGCACTTTGCGCACAGAATCATTTTCAAAACTTCACAAATCCACACGAAAATGTTTGGTATGTAGAAAAAATAAATAAAATGCGATTTTTAATTTAAAAAAAAAAAAAACTGAAGCATGACAAATTAAACGCCGAACGTGTTAAACACTGTTTGGAGCACCTAAAAACCTCTTAAAAAATTGAAGCGAGCGTATCTATGCGTGCGTGTGCGTGTGAGTAATGCTTTCCACTTTCATATTGCAGTTCGTATCACTATCCCACCCATATCGGACTGCCAACAGCCGGCCAGCAGCTACAAATGGGCGGCGGCGGTGGCACAACACCGAGGTAAACTTGAGCAAAAGCTTCTAATACTTACAGCCGCACTCAGAGTTGTTTAATGACGTTCCTTAGTAGCGTTAACAACAACATTTAATGAATATTAAAAACCTTTACTTAACTCGTCAACCAACTACATATTAAGGACATGTTTTTGTTTGTTTTCAATAAATTTCGATTTCGCTCGCGTTGCTGCAGCAGTCGCGATGGTGTGTCATTCGGGAGATCCACGGATCAAATTAATTTTATTTTAATTTGTAGATTCTTTTGTTTTAAAAAGGAAAATATTTTTTGTAATTTAATTTTTATAAACTTAATTTATCTTTTTTAATAAAAAATTCTTTTGCTTTTTACATTTTATTGTCTAAAAATATAAGTTTATACATATACATATATATTTTTTTACTTAATTTTCTTAAACTTTTTAGATTTTTTTCTGTCGCAATGATATACATTTTTTAAATTTAATTTTATCTTTAAAAAAATATCTTATGTTCTTTTTATATATATATTATGATTTTTTCAAAAGAACTTTATTTTTATTTTTTGATTTTTCTGTTTTGAGATGAAAAATATATACATTTTTAATATCATTTAATTTTCAGAAACTGTATTATATATTATTTAATTAAAATTTTTATTTTTTTAAATTAAGAAAAAATTTTGTTTAGTTTCATTTAATTTTAAGAAACTTAGGTTAAATTTTTTAATAAAATTTTTAGATTGTACTATCATTTAATTTTCAGAAACTGTTTTAAGTACAAGAACGTTTGCTTAATTTTATTTAAAATTCAGGAATTAATTTTTTTGTTTCTTTTTTTCAGTTAAATTTTTTGAATAAAATTTTCTTTTAATTTTTAGTTTTTACTGTTTTAAAAACAAACATATATTTTTTAGATTCAACAATTTTTATAATGAGCTCGAGGCCATTTTTAAATGAAAAATTTATTGTGGAAAAGCAACAACAATTTGAAAAAATGGTAGAAGTGATAGCTATTTCGGAAATCACCACATTTCC